GGAAGCTTCGGCGGCGTCCACAGCACCCCTCCTCCTCCTTCTCCTGCTCCTCCTCTCCTCCTCCTCCTCTCCTCCTCCTCCTCCTCCTCCTCCTCCTCCTCCTCCTCCTCCTCCTCCTCCTCCTCGTCTTCCTCCTCATCCTCGTCCTTTCCCGAGCGATACAATAACAACTTGCGTGGAACCCCTCTCGGGCCCATCTTGGGGCTCTCTTGGGCCGCCTTTGGAGCCTCTTGGGGCGTCCTGGGTCTCTCGTGGGGGCTTCTTGGAGCTCTCTTGGCGCCTCCTGGAGCCTCTTGGGGCCGAAAGCTCGGAATTCTACAATGGCTTTCTCCCTCTGGGACCCCTCTCGGGCACGCCTTGGGGCTCTCTTAGGCCATTTTGGAATCCAATTTTGCCGTCCTGGGCGCCTCGTGAACCGTCTTGGAACTCTCTTGGGGGCCACCTAGGCCGTCTTGGGAGCCTCTTCGGACGTGTTGGACGCGGTGAAAACCCAACAGGCGACCATGCGAAAAGTATACGTTTTCCCATAGGAATGGGACCATTTTTGCTTCTTGGACCTCTCTTGGGGTGCCTCTCGGAACGTCTTGGGCTGATTTTGGAAGCCTTTTGGCGCCTCTGGGCGGCGTTTTGGCGCCTCCTGGGATGTGTTGGGCCGGAAGCTCGGAATTCGAGAGTGGCTTTCTCCTTCTGGGACCCCTCTCGAAGTCGTCTTGGGGTTCTCTTGGGCCGTCTTGGGGCCGTCCTGAGCCACTCGTGCGCAGCCTTGGAGCGCTCCCGGAGGCCTCCTAGGCCGTCTTGGAGGCCTCTTGGGCCGTCTTGGACGCGGTGAAAGCCCAAGATGCGAACATGCGAAAAATATACGTTTTCCCATAGGAATGGCACGATTTTTGTTTCTTGGACCTCTCTTGGGGTGCCTCTCGGAACGTCTTGGGGTGCTTTTGGGAGCCTTTTGGCGCCTCTTGGCGGCATTTTGGCGCCTCCTGGAGCCTCTTGGGCCGGAAGCTCGGAATTCGAGGTTGGCTTTCTCCGTCTGGGACCCCTCTCGAACTCGTCTTGGGGCTCTCTTGGGCCGTCTTGGGGCCGTCCTGGGCCACTCGTGCGCAGCCTTGGAGCGCTCCCGGAGGCCTCGTAGACCGTCTTGGGCGCCTCTTGGGCCGTCTTGGACGCGGTGAAAGCCCAAGAGGCGAACATGCGACAAATATACGTATTCCCATAGGAATGGCACGATTTTTGCTTCTTGGGCCTCTCTTGGGCTGCCTCTCGGAGCGTCTTGGAGGCTTCTGGGACCTTCTTGGTGTCATGACAGGCGTCTTGGAAGGCATCTGGAGCCATCGGAGCGCGTTCCGAAGCCGCCTGCGAACGATCTTGGACGGCGTCCGGCGGTCCGACGAGCCTCCGGGCCCCCCGGGGCCCACATTTGCGGTCGGGGTCCCGGCCCCGGGCCCCCGGACCCGGTGCGCCGTTATATGTATATGTATATGTATATGTATATGTATATGTATGTATATATATATATATATATATATATATATATGTGTATATATATATAGATATGTATGTATGCAGATATGTATGTATGAATGAATGCGTGTGTTGATTATCTGACCGTCGCCGTACTAATGCAAGGTCCCGAGTGGGCCCCCTTCGGGGTCTCTTGGAGCCGTTTTTCAATCGTCTTGGGGGCCTCCAGGGCCGTCTTGGGGCCCTCTGGTGTCGTCTTGGTGCCTCTGGGCAGTGTTGAGGGCCTCTTGGGGCTGTTCTGGGGCAGTCTAGGGCATCTTGGGGCCCCCTCAGGCCGTCTGGAGCCCATCTGTGGGTCCTCATGAAACGTTGGGCCCCTCTTGGGCCGTTCTGGGCCTGCTTGGGGTCCTCTTGGGTGCCTCTTGGGCAATCTGGCAGCGACCTCGGGGTCCTCTACGGCCGTCTCGAGCGCTCTGGAGACCGAGAAAACGAGTGTGCGAAAATGGCACCGCAATGTAAGGAACACATATAATCGTAGCCTCCCGGGGGCCTTTTGGAAGTCGTCTTTGAGCCCCCTTGGGCCATCTGGGGGGCCCGTTGGGCAGTCGAATGGCCATCTGGGGCCCATATTGGGCCATCTTGGGCCCATGGTGGCCGCCTTGAGGCGCTCGTCAGGCTCCACATCTACGCCTGCGGCGGTCAGCCGTGTACTTGCCCCGCCCAAAAAGGTACAGAGCAGGACAGCTAGTGACGCGGATGGAGGGCAGATGGCTTTGAGAGTCACGTTCTCGCATGAGACGTCCTCTGATAATGTGTGCTCTGGAAGTTTGACAACACGATGCATTACCACAATACTGTGTTGGGGTGAATGCGGCTTTGGCAATGTGGCTCTCGCGTGATACTTACCTTAATTACATGCTTATGAGCCTGCGTATTTCCAACAGTTACACACACACACACTTCACTCGGCTTTGTTCCGAAATCAAGCTTTCGTCTAGAACCTTCCTGCAATCTTTGTGAATGGGACTGCGGATGCCGGATATCTACGCGTAAGGAAGGCAATTTCTTATTAACATCGGGATTTCGATCGAACGCCACGGACATGTTCGCAAAAACTCAAAAAAGGCTACCTGGATTGGGGGCATAGGTTATTGACCTCTGCCGCGTCCTACGGCCGAGTCTCAATCCGCTTGCCAATGCGCGATCAAAGCCCGATAGGGTTCTCACATCTCCAATCCTGCGATGCCTGTTTTTTGTTTACAACATCGACCCCCAGAGGTCTCGACTCGTTCCCTGGGACCTGCTTGTACTCTTGAGTCGTTCTTTGATGGTCCAGGGACCCAGAGGGGTCACAAAGCGCCAAGCATCTCCCGTCCGTGAGTATTTGAACGACGCGAGCATGCCTGGGCAGGGTCACGACTGGCCTGACGGCGGCAGAGCCGTTGACTCCGACCCCTCCGTCGACATGTGACAGAACATCCTTCAGCAATGCGCCCTCTAGTGCAAGCTGCTGGGGGCACTCCACGTGCGCACGGCACCGCATTCCGAGTGGACCCCAGCGGGGTAGCTACCGACGCCCAAAAACAACGGGCGGTATTCGGCGAAACGCGCGTCGATTCGGGAAACCGACTGGGGACTGCACCAGCACACTCGGATGTCAATGTCGAGTGAACACAGATTGCCTCTGTCGACTTGTCTGGGCGGGCGACCTCTCAGTGCCCGATTCTGGTCCTCCCAAGTCCCAAACCTCCGGCAGTGCCCTCTGCATGTGCCAGCCCCCTCGAACCCCCATACGCGAACCTCCAACAAACCTATCGAGTCCTCACCGTTCCAGAGGGCGCTCGATGCCGTGAACATGCATGCATGCGGGTGTTGCTCTTTCTGTCTCGGCGCAGTTCTTTGAACAGGGAGGCGAGGGGAAGGGAATGGCAATGCCACCGGAGCTTAGGCGGTCCGCCTCGTTGCGAGGCTGCCAGGGGAGACAGCCCTCCGGCTCGCCCAATGGCGACCCGGGCCAGGAGCTCCCTACGCGCGCCCTCCGCCCAGGGAGCAGGGGCCGCGGTGGGGAGGAGGGAAGTCGCGAAGCACTGCATCTCGACACAGCCTGTCTGCCGATCGCACGCATCCTGACACCAGGCTTCCAAGCTCGACATCCTGGATTCGGGCAACGAGGCAAATGCATGTGACGTGGAATCGGTGCAAGATCAGTTTCACGAGGAGGGAGAAGGAGGACGACGACGAGGAAGGGGAGCGAGGGAACTATGCCAATCAAACCCAGAACAGTACACGGACCAACCTGCAATAGGCGAGCCTTCGCACAGAACATTAGCTTGGAAAATCGAGCAGCGCTGCTGTGTGAAAGTCCCTTATGGCCAGAATCGCCATTAACAAGTAAACAAGCACAACGGCCAATAGCAAACGAGAGTGCAAGAAGGGGAGATGACAAGAAGGAGAGGAAGAACGACGAACTAAATAACAAATCGCGCATACTGTGAAATGAGGCAGTGAATTACCCCGAACGGCACCGCAAGTGCGTGTGTTGACACATGAGAGGGGACTTGGAACGCGAGGGCGTGAGGCAACATCAGTGACGAATGCGTGATTTACTTTGGTCTTCTCCTCCTGCTCCTCCTTCTCTTATGGGGGCATGGGGAAGCGGAACCACCCACTCCACCCCAACAGGCTGAAAGATGAATGCTCCGCGTGCGGTGATTCGCCTCATCAGAATGTGCAAAGGAATGTCCTCCGAGATGGAATCGGAAGGCTGCTCCACAACGCCCTCGTTAGCGGATGCCCCGTCGATTGCGCCACGGCGCATGCACCGCTTGGGTGCGCCCCAAAACGATCCAAATCTATTCACTGGTTCTCGCAAAATACAGCTCATGTGCCAGGACTGATTCATTTTACACCCGAATGCACTGTTGCTCAAGCGCACCAAACTTACACTTTGAAGTATTTTGTTGAGGCACCTTCTGAAACAAACACGTCTCCTGTTAGCGTGGTTGGCTGCGCCAGGCAGATGTCGGAGCGTGTCCCTCATGTGGTGGCAACCTTCCATTTTTCTTTAGAGGCCGACCGAAAGGGGCCGAAGCAGGGGAGGACGGAACATCGCGCTGCATCGGCACTGTTCTGGCGGCGCTGGTCTTGAGCAAACAAACAAAAAAAAACTCTGAAGCGCACCGCATCGCCGATGCGTCGGCGATGCGGCTCGATCCTCCGACCCCACCTGCTTCGGCCCAACTCAATCAGGTGGCCTGGACAGACCCCCAAATCGGAGAGACGTAAGACCCGGGTACGGGGGACTCGGAAATCCCCGACGAGGTCGTCAAGAAAATGACGAGGCCGAGCCTGCATTTTGACGAGGCCTCCCGCTGCAGACATCCCACGAAACTCCTCCTCGTCAAAATCCGAGGCGCGGTCGTCAAAAAACGATGGCGAACCCGGGTCCCGGCAAACCCGGGCCTTACGCTCCCCCGACAGGTGGCCTGGACAGACCCCAAAACCGCACATCGCTTTCCCACGTCGCCCGGCACACAATCACAAAGATAGCGCCCGGCCTCGGCGTCGCTCATGCCCTCGGTGGCTGCCCCCTTGCGAAAGGGAAAAGCACATGCAGGCCTCGAGAGGAGGACGAATATCGACACGCACAACCGACTGCGCCGATACACTTCAGGCACTGCGTCCGTCCTGCTGCATATGGCAAGACCCAAACTTCTGCTCATATATATATATATATATCTGGCTGCATTGGCATGTGTCGAGGAAGGAGCCCCCGTTTGTAGAAGCAGCGCCTGGCCTACTATACAAACAGGTGTGGTTGACATCCAACATCCTGTGATCTGCAACAACGTTCTCTGGCACCTCTGATCGTCTCAGAGGGCTCCCGTTTTTCGTTGATTCGTTTTGTTTTGTTCGGTTGTCCAATGAAGAATGATTATGGCCATCGCTAACAAGAGAAAATCGTTCCCAATCAGGAGCGTGGCTAGGGCTGAATCCAGAGCACCATTACCCGTCAGGAACGTGTCACGGCTTTCAATCAGGAGTATGGCGGGCAGCGGGGAAGCGAGAGCACCATTCCCACTCAGGAACTGGCTGGAGCTACAGCGAGGGCGGCATTTCGAATCAGGCGGCCAGCGCGCAAGCGAGAGTACCATTACGTCGCAGGAGTGTGGCCCTCGATACGGCGAGAGCAGAATTTCGAGGCACGAACGTGGCCGGCACTGAGGCGAATGCCATGTGATACTTGAGAACGTACTGGAAGTGCCGGAGCCGTCTGGAATTGGCGGAGATGTCTGCATGCGATTCCAGGAGCTCTGAAAGATATTAATGAGGAGCCCCAAAGGTGGAAACGTGTGCGTTCCAAGCCACTTGAGCACATACACGCAGCACAGCTTCGCCCCACTGGACACAAATAACACCACAAACGTTCTGGCACTTTCCATTGCGAATATTGCCTTTTTTCCTTCGTCCACTGCATGCCACGATAACGTGCACATATCGGTGTGGCTTTTCGTATCTCATGCGTGCCAGTGTCAGCGTGTAAGTGTGCTGCTGCTCCATGCAGACTTGATTGGACCCCAACGGCCTCTGCGTGGAGTCGTTTGCGGCATTCCTCCATGGGCATCTTGTCCAACACCTGGCGCGCGACGGGTGAAGCAGAACTGGCATGCCTGTCAATGACACCAAGGATGTTAGCTTCTTGTGCGACTGAGATGCGATCCGCGCTGGTGCAAGCAAAAGGCCTGGCAAGACACTGCAGCAGAAGAGGCAGCATGCCGACTTGTCCTAGCGCTTGTCACAAAGCGAATTCCCACCATACTGGCAGTCACATTGAACTGTTGATACCCGCGCCAACTGCCCCCACGCACCGAAGGAGGATGAGGAAGAGGGGGCGGTGAGGAGGGGGATGTCATGAGATGGGAGAGAAGGCCAACTGTATTGGAATTGCGAAGGATTGTGCGGCATCTGTATCCGTAGGAGATACAAACTTGGGAGGAACAGGTGCCGAACCGAGACTGATAAGGAAGAGGAGGGGGATGCGAGGATTCGTACGATGCGGGATGAGGGGGCGTGGCGATGAGGGGGAAGCAGGACATGATCAGGAGGTGGGGGGGATGAGGAGGCAGGCGGAGGGATCAGAAGGTAAGTGTATGATTACCGTGATGCCGATGATGATGATGTTGATTATGATGATGATGATGATGCTGCTGCTGATGATGATGATGATGATGATGATGATGGTGATGATAATGACGATGCTGCTGATGATGCTGATGAGGATGAGGAGGAGGACCCGACCCGACCGCCCCCGCCCCAGGCTGCCGCTCTCCATCCCTCTCCATGCCCCTCCGGGGCCGCCCTTGCTGTGGCACGCGCCCAACGCTTCGCCCCCGCCTTCATCCTAGCGCCTCCCCTTCCTCCTCTGAATTTCTCCTTGCATAGTTCAAAATATGTAAGAACAAACACGGGACCAATGTTCCAAAAGACTGTTTCCGGTAGGTGGCCTTTTTTGTGGCCAGGGGCTCGGGACCATAACCCTCATGCCCAGGGACCCCCCTTGGTGACGGGGGTGGGGACCCACTCGGGTGCCCCTGGGCCTTTTAGGGAGGACGAGGAGGAGGAGGACCAGTGCAAACCCAAGGCGCATCGACGATGTTGCTGTGAACTCTCCCCCCAAGTTCCCCATAGGACCCCAAAACAATGTATTCTCATTGCTGGAATTGGCCCATTGGAAGACAACCGTCTAGAATCCTCAATCGTGCCAACACAGCGTTCTTTGGGCTCCAACGCCGCGGGTCCACGTGACTGTTGCGTCCTGACAATTCGAAATCGTGCCAGAACGCCGTTCCTGGGACTCCAACGCCGCGAATCAACGTGTCTGTTGCGTTTGAATAATCCGAAGCCGTGCCAGACCACCGTTCCTGGGACTTCCACCATACGAGCCCTTGAACCCGCAGCAAACTTTCCAGACGAATGCGCTCGGCGCTACAACGGTAACCACCTTTTGAAAACAGCCCACCCTCATTCCGTGAACCAGCTGCAACCTTTTAGAACGAGTGTGCGCGGCGCTGCAGCGATGATCACACTTTGGAAACGGGCCGCCCTCCACCCGTGAAGCCGACGCAATAGTCAAGCACGAGTGCGCGCGGCACTGGGGAGGGAACCAGATCTTGAGAAGGACCCGCCCTCCATCCATGAACCTGTTGCAGATGTGTAAGACGAGTGTGCGCGACCCTGAGGCCAGAGCCACATCTTGAAGACGACCCGCCCTCCATCAGTGAACCTGTTGCACGTTTCAAGCTTTAAGATCATAAGTGGCGAAGACATCTCAGGCGAAACGCCCGGCCCGCCATACCGACACCTCCGGGGGTGCGGCAGGGAGGAAATACTTACACAGAGAAGGTATGGGGGAGAAAGAGGAGGGGGACACGCAGGAGGAGGAGGAGGAGGAGGAGAAGGATGAGGGGGAAGAGGAAGAGGAGGACAACGAGGAGTTGGGGCCAGATGGGGAGGAGCCCCTTCCCGAGGTCAAGTGAACGTCCTTCTCCTCGCCCCTCAGCCCCTCAGCCTCTCAGCCCCTCCCCTCCGTGCGCTCACGACGCCGAGACGAGCTCCGACGATGAGGCGGAGGCTGGCGGCGACGCGGGGGCAGCCTGCGGCAGCAGGGGCAGCGCGCCCGGCAGGCCCGCCAGGAACTCCGCCAAGCCCATCGGCCCTGGCGCGAAGGGGTGCCGTGGGGGGCTGCGCGGGTGTCTGGCCCTTCCCTTCCCGTCCTGTTGTGACGTGTGGGCCGTCGGCAGAGCTGACCTGTCCCGCTGGCGCCGTCCTCAAAGCTCCACAGGGGCAGCGTCTGCCGGAGTGGCCTGGCGTTCGCAGCAGTATCACTCAGAGGCAGAGTTTGTGTGCCCCGTCGCCTTCGTCCCTCCATGTCGTCCTTCTTCTTCTCCATTTTCTCTGGCGCCTGCTGATTCTCGCTCTTCTCTCCTCCTCCTTCTCTTCCTCCTCCTTATCCTTCTCCTCCCCCTCGCCTTCTCTCTCCTCCTGTTTATGCTCTTCTTCTTATTATTCTCCATATTCTTCATCTTATAATTCCTCTTCTTCTTCTTCCTCCTCCCCAGTCTCCTGCATCCACTTTTCTCATGTACAAGCCGTCCTCGTCGTACCACTAGATCTGCCTATGGAGAGGTTCGGGTGTTTCGCTGGACACTTTCCTCCTCTTCATGTTTTTTCTCCTCCTCCTCCTCCTCCTCCTCCTCTTTACCTCCTTTCTTGATCTAGCAAGAACCCTCCCTCCTCCTCCCCCTCCTCCTCCCCCTCCTCCTCCCCTTCTCCTCCCCTCCTCCTCCTCCTCCTCCTCCTCCTCCTCCTCCTCCTCCTCCTCCTCCTCCTCCCCTCGTGTCTTGCTCTATCTCTCTCCCTTCCTTCCCGCGCCGGCGAGGAATGCGAGGGCTCCGCTCCCGCTCTTTCTCCTGCTGCTCTTCGCCCAGGGGGCCTGGGACACACAAATATATACACACAAATAACAGGATTCCCCACAGTTTCATATATTTCCTGGGTTTTTGTCTTCCCCCCACTTCCCATATTTTCCCAGATTTTCGGGGGAATCGACGATTCATTGCGTCTGTGTGTTTTTTCCCTTCTGAATTGAGCCGCCCTCCCCCCTGGTGGGACTGGGCCCCGAGATCCGACGTCGTGCAACTCACCTCGGCCCGAAACAATCACAGCTGGAGCTCCCGACCACCTCGCTATGCGTGATCTCTCGAGCGGGGTCGATCCGCGTCATCGTCGTCGCCGTCCTCCCCATCCTTCCTCGGCCGCCTCATCCAGAGACGTCGGAAAACCGCTGAACAACTGTGTGGTATCGTAAAACATCCGAACATGTCTCGCTCCTGCCTCCTGCCTCCCGTGCCCGCCCTCCTCCCTTCTCCCTTCTCCCCCTCTCCCCCGCCCGTCCCCTCTCCCCGCCCGTCTTCCCCTTCCTCCTCCACCTCCTTACTCCCCCTTCCCTCTCGACTCTCCTTCTCCTTCCCCCCCCCACCTCTCCGCCGCCACCCTCCAGGGGGGGGGGGGGGGGAACAGGACACCGATGCCGCTGCTTCACGGGCCCCCCCGGGGCGCATTCCGACCGGGATCCCGAGATGAGGCCAGCCGTGGCGACGAGGGTATCGGGCAGCGGCATCAGTATATATTAAAGGGAAATTAGGACACACAAATAAATACACACAAATAAAAATAGTCCCCATACTTTCCCATATTTTCTGGGTTTTTGTCTTCCCCCCCCCATTCCCATATTTTCCCATATTTTCCTGGGAATCGAGGATTAATTGTGTCTGTGTGTTTTTTCCCTCCTGATATATATATATATATATATATATATAGATCTCTCTCTCTCTCTTCCCCCGCCGACCTGCTCCTTGTGGAAGTGGGGCGCGGCTCGCGTGTCTGCCCTCCACGAGCGACGACGACAGAGACCCGACCGCCCGAGCGAGCCCGAGCGGAGAGGGCCCCGCGGGTGGCCTTCCGAGCGGAGGGGCGGCGCGCCGAAGAGGCCCTGGCGCCGCCCCGCAAGCATCCCCAGCTGCTGCGGCAGACTCCCCGGCCCGCCTCTCGGCCCTTGGCTGGTCTCTTGAGCAGGGACCGACCGCCCCGGCATTCCCAGAGTCCTACCACGAAGTGTTCTCAGAACCCACAGATGTTCGAAGAACCAAGACAAGGTTCTCAGAACATAAGCTCGCTGTGTTGAATCAAGCCAGTCCCAGCCAGAAATGTTCTAAGAACCCTTCGTGGAAGCCACACAAAGGGTTCTTAGAACATTCTCTGGTAGGCCTCTATATGCGAGCTGGGCGAGCCCGAGCCGGGACCACTTCCCAAACACTTTCTCTTATTTTTTCTGGGGAATCGTCGATGCCTCGTGTCTGTGCGTTCCCTCCCCTCCTGCCTCATCCCCACGCGATGGGGGGTCGGCGGCTGCCTCCGCCGGCCGCGATGAGCGCAGGCCGCGCGCCACCGCGCGGCCTGCGCTCCTGGCCGCCGCGCGCGGCCTCTCCGGCGCGGCCCGTGGAGGTGGGGGCCGGCGGCCCGGCGGCTGGAGGGCGCGGGCGCTTCGGCGCAGCAGGGACGGGCGTTGGGAGGGGCCTCCTCCTTCCTCTCCTCCGTCCTCCTCGAAAGCTGCTCCCTCCTTCCTCTTCTCCTTCCTCTCATCCTTCCTCTCCTCCTCCTCCTCCTCCTCCTCCTCCTCCTCCTCCTCCTTCCTCTCCTCCTTCCTCCTCTCCTTCCTCCTCTCCTCCTTCCTCTCCTCCTTCCTCTCCTCCTCCTTCCTGGCAACGGCCTCCTCCTTCCTCTCCTCCTTCCTCTCCTCCTTCCTCTCCTCCGTCCTCCTCCTCCGCCCCCGTCGCTTCTCCGGGCCAGGCGCCGGCAGGACGGGCCGGGCGTTTCGCCTGACGGACCCCTCACCATGCATGATCCTGAAGCCTGACGCCTGCAACAACTTCACGGACGGACGACGGGTCGTTTTCGACATACGGCTCTCGCCTCAGTGCCGCGCAAGTGCGTCGTGAATGTTCCAAGAGTCTAACAAGTAGGGGGCGGGTGGTATTCAAAACGCGGCTCTCGCCTCCACGCCGCGCACATCCGTCTCAAACACCGTAGGCGCTGCACGGGTGGAGGGCGGATGGCTTCCGACATGTGGCCCTCGCGGTAGCGGCGCCCGCACTCGTCGAGCAGACGCCCTGGCTTCCTGGACGGAGGGCAGCCCTTTTCAACAGTGGCTCTCGCTCCAGCGCCGCGCACAGTCGTCTGTGAAAGACTGCAGCAGCTTCTCGGACGGAGGGCGGGTCCTCTTCAAGGTGTGGCTCTCGCTCCAGCGCCGCGCACGCTCGTTGCCTTACAAGTTCGCAGCCACTCCAAATATTCGCATGGCCGAAGTCCCAGGGATGATGTTCTGGCACGATGTAGGGTGGCCAGGGCACAACGATCATGCTGAAGTCCCAGTAGCGGCGTTCTGGCACGATTCAGGATCGTCAGGACGCACAAGTAATCGTGATTCGCGGCGTTGGAGTCCCAGGAACGGTGTTTTGGCACGACTGCAGATTCTCGGACAGTTGTCTTCCAACGGGGCACTCCCCGCAGTGAGAAAAAGTTACCTTAGGGTCCTGTGACGAAGGACCTTCCTCCTCTTTCCCCTCCCGCTCCTCCTCCCCTCTGCCGTCCTCTCCCTCCTCCTTCTCCATTCCTTTTCCTTATGCTACCTCCTCCCCGTCGCAACCCGAGGCTGGTCGAACGGGCGGGCTGGGCGTTTCGCCCCAGACTTCCTCACCATTTACGACCCTGATGCTTAAGCGTTGCCAACTGTTTCACCGATGGAGGGCGGGCCGCTTCCAAACTGTGGCTCTCGCCGGAGCGCAGCGCACATTCGTATTAAACGCTTGCCAGGGTGTAGCGGATCGAGGGCGGGTGGTTTTCAAAATGTGGCTCTCGCCCGAACGCCGCGCGTACTCGTTTTACACAAGCGCGAGGCGATCGCGGATCCAGGGCGGGTCGTTTTCAGAATGTGGCTCTCGCCTTCGCGCCGCGCAGGTTCGTTAGACAGATGCAGAAGCTTCGCGGATTGAGGGCGAGCGGCTTTCAAATGGTGGCTCTCGCCTTGGCGCCGCGCACACGTTTTTTTTTTTTTTTTTTTTTTTTTTTTTTTTTTTTTTTTTTTTTTTTTGTTTTTGTTTTTCTTTATAGAAAAAAACAAAAAATTGCGTAGTTTCACGGATTGAGGGCGGGTGGTTTTCTAATTGTGGCTCTCGTCTTCGCGCCTCGCGCATCTGTTCATACATCTATACATACATGTACACAAGAACAAACACTGCAAGCAATTAGGCCTCGAGGGCGGGCCGTTTCTGTGTTAATGTGGCTATCGCCCTAGAGCCGCGCACGTTCGTAATGCTTACTCGACGCGGAGATCCCCCCATATGTGCATCTATGTGTCTGGACCTTTTCCGCTCCGAATGTCTGCGAGAGAGTCCGGGCATGCGTGGGCCTGAGTAAGAGAGACTACCCTCGACCAGGGTAGTAAGGATGCGCGGTAAGGATGCAAGGGCCTTGGAACGCCATGTTGACGTTTTCCGTGCGGAGCGCAGCAGAATGCCGAAGGATGCCGAATACCGACGGGGCAAGGATGCAAGGGTAGCCTTGGAAAGTTGTCCAATCCTTACTATCATGGATGACTGTAAGAACGGCGGGGTCTGAGTGGGAGTGAGTCCGTGTGTGGGCGAGTCTGAGCGTGAGTGAGTCGATGTGTATGGGTTGGAGTGTGCCTAAGAATTTGGTAAGTGAATCTGAATGTGAATGGTCTGAGTATCAGAGTGTGTGTGTGTGTGGGAGAGTTGTATGAGTGTGGATGGCGTGAGTGTGAGTGTGAGTCTGATTGTGAGTGAGTCCGAGTGTGAGCTTGGACACATATGTAAACACAGGGTTCGAGACAAGTAAAACACATAAGATTCGAGCCTCAGGAGAAAGGCAATCCATAGGCACATACGTAAAACACGCAGGGGGGGTCGGCATGAGGACCTTCTGGGGCCTCCTGGGGCCTCCACGGGGCCTCCTGGGGTCTCCTCGGGCTTCCTGGGGTCTCCTGAGGCTCCCGGAGCATCCTGGAGCCTCCTGGGGCCTCCTGGGGCCTGCTGGTGCCCACTGGGGCCTGTAGGGGCCTCCTGGGCCCTACTGGATCCTCCTGGGGCTTACTGGTGCCTCCTGGGGTTTTCTAATGTTTCCTGGGACTTCCTGGGGCCTCCTGGGGCCTCCTGAGGTTTCCTGGGGCCTCCTGGGGCCTCCTGAAGCTTCCTGGGGCTTCCTGGGGCCTCCTAGGGTTTCCTGGAGCCTCCTGGGGCCTCCTGGGCCCTCTCCGGGGCTTCCTGGGGCTTCACCAGCACAGGCACACCGCCTGAGAAATCCTCGCAATCTGGGCCCTTGGGAATGCTGAGACCAGCGCCTTGCCCGAGACATCCTCGGAAACTGTTCCGAAATAGAAAGAGAAAGAAAGAGAGAGAGAGAGAGAGAGGTGTTGAGCACCCAAACGCGCAAACCGCCTGAGACATCCACCCAATCTGGGTGCGAACGGGCCTGTGATATACCCACTGGCGCCACCCTCGGGAGTACTGAAACCAGCGCCTCGCCTGAGACATCCTCGGAAACTGCTCCGAAAGAGAGAGAGAGAGAGAGAGAGAAAAAAAAGAGAACGAGAGAAAGAGAGAGAGAGAGAGAGAGAGAGATGTTGAGCACCCAAACGCGCAAACCGCCTGAGACATCCCCCCAATCTGGGCACGAACGGGCCTGCGATATACCCCCTGGCGCCCCCCCCTTGGGAGTACTGACGCCAGCGCCTCGCCTGAGACATCCTCGGAAACTGCTCCGACAAAGAAGGATGTTGGACACCCAAACCGGCAAACCGTCTGAGACATCCCCCCCATCTGGGCACGAACGGGCCTGCGATATACCCCCTGGCGCCCCCCCCCTTGGGAGTACTGACGCCAGCGCCTCGCATGAGACGTCCTCGGAAACTGCTCCGAAAGAAAATAAGGTTGGGCACCCAAAGAGGCAACCCGCCTGAGACATCCCCCCAATCTGGGTGCGAACGGGCCTGTGATATACCCAATGAAACCAGCGCCTCGCCTGAGACATCCTCGCAAACTGCTCCGAAAGAGAAAGATGTTGGGCACCCAAAGAGGCAACCCGCCAGAGACATCCCCCCAATCTGGGCGCGAACGGGCCTGTGATATACCCACTGGCGCCCCCCTTGGGAGTACTGAAACCAGCTCCTCGCCTGAGACATCCGTGTAGCGTGTGTGAGTCTGAGCACCGAAATATCAGAAGCGTGAGTGAGTCTGCATCTGAATGATCCCGAGCATGAGGAACCTGAGTATCAGGAACCTAAGAGCGAGTGCACCTGAGTATGAGTGAGTCTGAATATGAATGAGTCTACATGTGAGTGGGTCAGAAGATGATGACCTGAAAGTGGGAGGTGTTCTCGTTCCGCGCGGTCTAAGTCATAACAAAATGCCCATCCTCAAGATATGGGGAGCACATCGCAAGAGTTTCACGGATTGAGGGCGTTTTTTTAAAACATGTGGCTCTTGCCTTAGTGCCGCGCACACTCGTTTTGGAACACATGCAAGCTATTCGCGGGTTGAGGGCGGTTCCTTTTCAAACATGTGTTGTCGCCTTAGCGCCGCGCACATTCGTTCCAAGCACTTGCAAGAATCCCACCAGCCCTCTGGGTGTAGGTGCTTTAGGGAGTTTCCTCTTCCACCCCCTTCTTCCCCTTCGGGGAGGGGTTTACCCCTCCCCCCTCCCCCCTGCCCTGGACCTGGACGGGGGGTTTCGCGAGCGGTCTGACGGTACTGTTTCGCCCAAGACGGCTCCAAGAGCGCCCCAGAGAGCCCAAGCTGATCTCCACGATGGCTCAAGATAGCGCAAGATGGCCCAAGATAGCTTCCAAGATGGTCCAAGAGGCCCCAAAACGCTCCAAGACGGCTCCACGATGCCTCCGAGACCTCCAAGGAGGCCTCCAAGAAGCCAGCATCCTTCAAACACATGGGAAAACACTGATTTTGGCATCGTCGCCCATTCGCTTCCGATAGCCTTCCGATGCCTCTTCTTCTTCTTCCCAAGGTAGGCTCGAGGCGTCTCAAGGTGTGTGTGAATTTTCGTCCACGTGCGAGCGCACGCTCAGCTCTTGTCACTTCCCGTGGTGCATCTTGCGGCGGTCTTCACCGCTCCTGCAGCCAAGGGCCTGACATGCCCCTCCTTATATGCCTTCCGGCACAGCGCCCTGTCGGCGCTGTCCAGGGACTCCACAAGGTCGTTGGGGAGAGGCTCTACAGCCCCCGAGCGTAGCATCTCCGTGCATGCGCTGGGGGGGGATCCCGAGAGGTGACGAATGCAGCGGAAGCGCTGCCGGAAGTCTTTATGGCACACAGGGCAAACGCCGTCCGCCGAGACGTACCTCCTCGCTTCGTTCCTGACGCTGTGCACGGCGCGCTTGTGTTGCACGAGCCCTAATCTGGTTGCAAATGTTGGTGGATTGGGCCCGGGGCACATGTCGCAAGCGAAATTGAGCTGCACCCCGTCCGGTGAGGCGCAGCTGTCACACTTGCTCTCTGAAAAATGAATCGCATCAACGATATCGTGCCATCGCTGGTCTTGGCCGCATATCACGTCCAGCCATTGTCCTGCGTTTTCGCTGGGGTCTCCCAGCGGCGCACATTGGCTGCTCAGCATTTGCGCCGTGGTGAGGTCATCGAGCACGACCCGTGTATATGGCATCATTTTGCCATTACGCTTCGATGACAACAGCGCCAGCAACTGTGTTCTGCTAGAGAGGAGGAGCCTCCGCAGATACCTCAGTCTAGCCTGCATAGCCAAGCAATCTATGGATGCCGCCCCCAAGGATTGCCGCACTTGCAGGTCCGTGCCTTGCCCTGGCCCAAACCGGACCTTGTCCACAATGCGCCGTGGCACCCTCATGTACACCTGGTTCAACGTCCGCGCGAAATGTGCGTCGGGCGTGACAACGCGTGCATGGAACATCAGCTTTGTCAAGATGCGTGCCTTAACGGCGTGCATCTTTGTAGCGATGGATATGTTCGGAGCACCAAATACACGGATCGCAACTGGCGCGTATGCGTCCATGGCTGCTGATGCCCTCTTCTCAGCATCGGGTTTACAGGTGCCTGCGATGGAGACAACTGTTCCGAGATGCTTATACTTCGACACAATGGACAATTTGATAGCGCCATCGTGATCTGATTTGACGTACACGCCGTCCTCGTGCCTGTGCTGCTCCCAATGCGCGCTGGCGTTTTTTGCCCCTATACCGGAGCATGCACTCCGTCTTACCCGGAGCCCAATTTATCACCATTGCGCATAAGCGGAACAGCCGGCACAATACTTCTAGCAGCGTCTGGATAGCACGATCGAGGAGCTGTGGGGAAGCAGCCACTAACGCGATACATTCGTCGTCCACGAACGTGGCGTCGATGATTTCCTCCTCGGTGGCGGCTTCCTCCCCTTCGTCCTCGGTAGTGCCCCGGAACGCCTTCTCCCCCGATCTCACGCGTAAGGTAATGCCTTTGCGCCTCATTTCCTCGTGGAGCATTTTGATCGGGACCGAGTATCCCGCGTTGAAAACCGTAGCTCCGAATATGCATCCCTGGCGCCCTCCCTTGTGCGACCGCGCAACTGTGTCGAGCGAGCCGTGCGAGAACCACGACCCCTCGTGCAGCCGCGCCACAAGGGAGGTAACTTTCGGGTCCACGTTCCACTGTTCAAACACGCCTCCTTCGGAGCATATGTAAGACGCCAGCCACTCGGCAACGTCCTGGTCAACGCCGAGGGGCGCCAAGTACCCGACGGGCGACTCTTGGGAAGAAACCGAGAAGCCAAATATGAGTTCGCGGATGATTCCGTCGAAAGCCTTGACCAAATCAATGAACAGCACAAAGATTGACAAACAATGCAACGACGCATATTCCATAACGGCGCGAACCAGGTGATGGGCAACATCGGTCCCACCTCCTTTAATTGCGCCGTACTGCGACATTGGCAGGCAAGAGTTGTAGCGCGGTTCGATGCACTCGCTTAGCTGGGAGCAAAATGCCTTTCCTGCATGGTCAGACAACAACGCTCCTCTGTAGTTGTCGCACTCGTCATCCGACCCCTTCCTCTTAAAAATCTCCTGCATACGACCCCCCATCCAATCGACTGGCCAAGTTTCGCTTTCAACAACGCGTTTCTCGACTTCAAAATACTTTACAGCGATGGCGTCCCCCCCTGCTTTCAAGAGCTCGGCGGGCATCTCATCTGGGCCGACGCCGCGATGAGATTTCAGCTTGCGGTGTGCCCGCGCCGTCCGCTCAGGCGACAGCTTGAGACTCGTGCTTCGCACGATGTCTTGCGGCGCAGGCGCGCGCAGCAATGCCTTGCTCGCGATCGTCCCTCTGAACACCTCGGCAAAATGATCTTGCCATCGTCCTTGGCGCTCCGGCTCGTCAGCGACCGGTTCGCCACTTTTCTTTCGAATGGCAGAACCCGAGGTGGCCTTTTGCCTTCCGTCTAGTTTGCCAAGCAATCGAAACATGTTCCGCATGTCGCCCGGTTGCGACGCACGCTGGATCTCCCAGGCGGCGTCGTGCCACCAAGCTTCGCGATCTCTGTTGACAAGTGGCTTTACGGAGACACTCAGAGCGTCCAAGACAAAGCGGACGCCTGCTTTGAGGGTTGCCACATGGTGTTGTTTTGCCCTCGCGGTCTCGCTCCGGCCGATTGCTACCCGGCCGCGCGACGCTTGCGAGGGAGCTGGGAACGCGCACCCGCGCAAGGACGCCCATGCATAAAACGCTCGCTCACTCAAGAACGCGTTACAACAAGAACCGAGTTTATGCATCCGCCTCCGCATGGGAGCAACATGCCTTACGATGGCCCAAGTGTCTGGGGTTATCCAAGATTTTTGCGGGATGTCTCTAGGTTTACCAAAAGACTTCAAAGCAGACGCCTTCACGTAGGCATTCAAATCGCGAAGGTGTTCGTCGACAGTGCCTGGCTTGGGTGAGAAATCCCACACGTAACGCTTGAATCGCTCAGCGGCCCATCCGTTCCTCAACTCCAACTGATTGAAGCGGAACTTCCCGGGGCCTTTGGTTTTCTCCGCCGGGCTGTCATGGCAGCCCTGGGGAACCCCAAACTCTGCCACGAGCAACCTGTGATCTTCCTGTCCGCCGATTGTTAAGGGCACGGTGTCTTCGACGTACGCTCGTTTAACATCGGCATCAAGATGGGTACTGGTGCACACATAATCGATCGACGAGACAGTGCCTCTCGGCGACCTCCACGTGTATCCGTGCTCAAATTTCTCTGGCGACGCATGCAAAGACGTATTGTGCAGAAATGTCATGAAACGCCTACGGTTGTCGTCATTTCTGTCTCTCGATGGAGGCGACGTATGTCGGGGCGAAGGTTTCTTGGCATTTGCATCTATGCACAACGCAACATGCGCACATGGGTACTTGCCTCGTGCATTCAACAACACACTCGCCAGATCGTCCCAAAATTCATTTTTCGCCTCTTCCCGATCCCGCTCTATGGGGGCATGGGCCGAGACGACAATCATCGAACAACCGAGTTTCTTGGATTTGCCTGCAACATACGCGGCCCGACTGCTTATCACGTGGAAACGGTCGTGCTCAAATTGCAGGGCCTTCGAAATCCATATCTGCACGCCGTAGTTGCCACGAGAATTGGCTCTCGCAACAAACATGGTGTAGGACGTGCTTGATTGCATGCGCTGTGAGATGGAGCGGCCTTCCTGGATCCCAACAGTGTCAATCCCAGACCGTGCAAACATGCATTCAAGCAGATGCACTTTTCCTGACAACACCACTCCTACAGCCCTAGTACTAGCAAATCGCTCCTCCCATGGACATAACGTCTGCACATTTGCCGTGCCAGCTCGGACATTCTCGTTTTCTTGGCCCGGGCGGTCGGCTCCACCCCCGGCTTCATGAGCATGAGCCTTCTCAGGGCCACCTGGGCATGGCGCGCCTCCAACGCAAGCTGAAGAAGTGTCGAAGTTTTGACCGTGCACGTCGGCTCGGCTCCCCTGGGCCCTCCACTCTCCAACCTGCTCCGCGCAACGCCCGTCCCCTCTCGTTCCCCCCGCGCCCCTTCCGCAGCAGTTCAACTCTCGCTAGATGGGGCGGGGGGGGTGCTGAACCCCTAAATTCTCAACGCAAGCACAGATATCGTGAAAGTCAAAAGGGCATGCATGTACAAATGAATTCTCCGAACACTCGGCCGCAAGCATCTCTTGGGCAACGCTCCCGTGCTCCCCGTTCCACGCGTAGCAACTACTACACTCTAGGTGTGGGTCTGCTTGGTTATACCCAACCTCGCAGTCATTACTCCCAAATCTACGTACGGGTATTGGTGAAAACATCTCTTGGGCAACGCTCTCACAAGTCGCTCCCGGGCAGGGTGCGGCATTCCTGGCTGGCGGTAGCACTGCGTAGTTACGACCACGCTGGCACTCCTCTGGATGATACGGCCCATTTAAAATCATCCCCTGGGCCCCTACTGAATTATGTGATTCCCCTACGTGTTGACAAACACGGGTATCATATTGGACGCTCATGCCCCCCCAGGGGCCGCTCCAGGGGCTGGAAAAACTGGCCCGTACGCGGTGGCATGGGGGGGGGTCTTGCTCTTGAAAGGCTTGCGTCCTACCTCCATGGCGGGATCTGTGACAGACCCCATCCCAGGCAGCGGCGGCACCTCCAGCTCGATGTCCCCAGAGGTGTCGACCGGAACCGGCTGATGAACGGCGGGCACCGTCACTGCTGCTACTGAGGCTGTCTGCTGTGCCTGCGCTGCTATGGACTGGATGCCGGTGACGAGCTGCTGCATCAGGCCCTTCGCTTGCGCCACGTGTTGTGGGTCCACGAAGCCTACCGACATCTCCTTCAGGACGTCGTCGAGGACCGACGTCATTGCCTCTATGGAGTTCGGCTGGCTTGGCTGCTGCGCTGCATTCTTCTGCAGCTCCGCCAACTCGGCCTGGAGCCTCTCCTGCTCCTGCGTCGCCGTCGCACGGGCCAGCTGGAGCTTGTCCGCCATCGCGTCGATCTCGGAGATGCGCTTCGTGCGCCTGTCCAACGCGCCCTTGCACGAGTCCAGCTGGGCGCCGAGCGGCTTTGACTTCACAATCTTCATTCGGGCCGCCTGCGCGGCCTTCGTCAGCTCTGCTCTCGCTGAGGCGTACTCTGGCCCCGGCGGGAGGTTGGCAAGTGCCGCATCCACCTGCTTCACCTCGGCATTGTCCGCTCCCGGCTGCGACTGAGGGAGGAGCGACTGCTGAGACGACATATTCGCCACCTGGCCCGAGAGCGTGCTGATCTCGTTCCTCACTGGGTGGTCGATGTGGCCGTTCTTCACGTTCACGTGCCCGGTTGCAACCTGCGCCCAGGTCTTCTTGCACCCGCACTGCGCACACTTCTTCTTGTCCGCGGTATTCCACCACGAGCAGAAGTTGCACTGCCACCATGATGAAGACTGCGAGCCCCATCCCTGGCCGTGCGACGCGTGCCACGACTGGTGTCGTGCCGTGCTGGACCATTGCGCCATGCCGAATCGTGGCGGTGGTATCTGATGCAAGCTTATGTTCACTCCGGCTGGATAGCTTGAGCTTGAGCCAAAATGGCTTGAGCCAAAATGACTCCAAAATTGCCCCAAGAGGGGCCCAAGAGCGCCTCAAAACGGTCCCAAGAGCGCCCAAGAGCGCCCGAAGATCGCCCCACGAGGCGACTTCGATCGATGTCTTCCAAGATGGCCCCAAAAGCGCTCCCAAGGCTCCCACGAGCGCCTCAAGAGGGCCCCACGAGGCGCCCAGGAGGCCCCAAGAGGCGCACACGAGTCCTCCAAGAGGCTCCCATGAGACCCCCAAGAGGCTCCCCAAGGCATCCGAGATGCTCCAAGAAGCGCCAAGAGGCCCCCAAGACGCAAGAGAAGCCCAATAGAGCCCCAATACGGCCCCAGGAGCGCCCAAGAGTGTCCCAAGAGCCCTCCAAGAGGGACCCTTCCTCAACGTGCTGCCCACTTCCCCGATCGAGGCAACTCCTCTGGGCATCGTCTCTGGATGGGCTGGTGGGGTTGCGAGAAGCGTCTAGAATTCCATTGGTTCTCATGGTTACCGTGCTAGAAACTGTGTTTTTGAATAACAATGGGTTGTCAGGGCGCAGCAGGTACGTGATTCTCGGTGTTGATGTCCCGAGAACAGCGTTCTTGTGCGATTCAGGCTCGCCAAGACGTAGCAATCAGGCTAACTCGTGGAGTTAAAATCCAAAGCGAGGTGTTTTGGCACGCTTCAAGATGTTCACACGGTTGTCCCCCAACGGGGCAATTCCCTCAGTGGAAATGACCCCTTGTAGAGGCCTGTGGAGAAGGATCTTGGAGGGAAGGTGTATTTCAACATCGTTGATGAGTCTTCGGTTTGCACTGGTCCTCCTCCTCCTCCTCCTCTTCCTCCTCCTCCTCCTTCTTCCCCCCTCCACCTCCCTCCCCTTCCTCCCCCTCTACAATTACTTACTCAATATGAATACTACTCTCCCTCTTCTCCTGATGACGTCTTGGGGATATTCCCCCCCCCCCCCCCCCCTCCCCTCCGCGTACTGTTTTTTACACACAGGTTCCCCCGGAGTTGGGTTTTCGCCTGCGTTCTTTTCCAAAATGCTGCTCTCGCTGAGGCGCCGGCCTCATTTCCGGGCCCCGCTCGTTCCGAATCGTGCTCCCGCTGCAACGCTGGCATCATTTCCGCCGGCGCCCGGGCTGCACGCCCGAGCCGGCGCCCGGGCCGGCGCTCGGGCCGGGTCCGGAGCCTGTTCCGGCCGGCGCCGGAAAATCGAGTTCCGAGGCGGCGCCGAAAAAAGGCCATTCTGATACGCATCTTTTTTTTGAAAATGCTGAATTTCTGCTTCCGGCGCCCGGGGAGGCCTCCCGGGCCGATTCCGACGAGGCCGGCGCCCGAGCCGGCGCCCAGGCCGGACGCCCGAGCCGGCACCCAGGCCGGCGCCCGGGCCGGGTCCGGAGCCGGTTCCGGCCGGCGCCGGAAAATCGAGTTCCGAGGCGGCGCCGAAAAAAGGCCATTCCAATACGCATCTTTCTTTTGAAAATGCTGAATTTCTGCTTCTGGCGCCCGGGAAGCCTTCCCCGGAGTTAAGTTTTCGCCTGTATTTTTTCCCAAAATGCTGCTCTCGCTGAGGCGCCGGCCTCATTTTCGGGCCCGGCTCGTTCCGAATCGTGCTCCCGCTGCAGCGCTGGCCTCATTTCTGTGCTTCCGCTCGTTCCGAATCGTGCTCCCGCTGCAGCGCTGGCCTCATTTCAGCGCTTCCGCTCGTTTCGACTCGTGCTCCCGCTGCAGCGCTGGCGTCATTTCCCGTGCCATGCCACGGCATGCAATGCAATGCTAGGTTGATACTACGCTTCGCGGTGCTCTTCTACGCCATGCATCGCGTACCCTTTCGGGATCATCGCCCTGCTTGAGATCCGACTGTGCGAGTAGAGAGGGGGTCTGCGCCATGGTAAGGGATGGGAGGGGGGGGTAGGATGTCAGATATGACGCGAGCGCACCTAGCTTGTCCCCCTCCCCCTCCTCCTCCTCCCCACCCTCCGGCTCCTCCCCCTCCTCTTCCTCCCCTTCCTCCTCCTTTTTTTCTTCCTTGTGATCCTCCTCCTCCTCCTCCTCCTCCTCCTCCTCCTCCTCCTCCTCCTCCTCCTCCCCCTTTTCCCTCCTCCTCCTCCTCCTCCTCCTCCTCCTCCTCCTCCTCCTCCTCCTCCTCCTCCTCCTCCTCCCCCCCCTCCTCCTCCTCACCCTCCGACTCCACCTCCATCTCGACCTCCCTCGTCTTCCTCCCCCTCATCCTCCTCTGCCGTCCTCCCCCTCTTCTCCGTCCTCCTCTTCCTCCTGCTGCTCCCCCCTCCTTCTCCTCCTCCTCCTCCTCCTCTTTCTCTTCCTCCTCCTCCTCCTGCTCCCCTCCACCTCCCTCGTCCTCCTCCTCCATTCATATTCCTTCTAGCTAGCTCCTCGCTATCGCACCCCGAGGCTGGTCGAAAGGGCGGGCCGAGCGTTTCGCCTGAGACTGCCTCACCATGGCACCGACTCTTAAAAACCCACAACTGTTTCACACATGAAGGGCGGATCGCATCAAAATGTGGTTCTCGCCTTAGCGACGTGAGCATTCGTGGAAACAAATTGCAAGAGCTTCACGGATTGAGGGTGGGCCGTTTTCAAAATGTGGCTCTCGCCCTGGCGACGTGTGCACTCGTTCTGAACATTTGCAAGAAGCGTTCACGAATTGAGGACAGGCAGATTTCAAAATGTGGCTCTCGCCTTAGCGCTGCGCACAGTCGATTACCATTTGCAAAGACATGAGTTGAGGGCTGGCCGTTTTCAAAATGTGGCTCTCGCTCTAGCGCCGCGCACATTAACTTAAAATGCTTGCAAATGCTTCCCGGATTGAGGGCGGTTCGTTTTCAAAATGTGGCTCTCGCCTTAGCGACGTGAGCATTCGTGGAAACAAATTGCAAGAGCTTCAGGGATTGAGGGCGGGCCGTTTTCAAAATGTGGCTCTCGCCCAGGCGACTTGTGCATTCGTTCTGAACATTTGCAAAGCTTTCACGGATTGAGGGCGGGCGATTTCAAAATGTGGCTCTCGCCTTAGCGCCGCGCACATTCGATTTAACCATTTGCAAAGACCTGAGTTGAGGGCTGGCCGTTTTCAAAATGTGGCTCTCGCTCTAGCGCCGCGCACATTAGTTTAAAATGCTTGCAAACGCTTCCCGGATTGAGGCCAGTTCGTTTTCAAAATGTGGCTCTCGCCGTCGCGCCGCGCACATTCGTCTTCAACATGCGCAGGAGCTTCACGGATTGAGGGCGGGCCGTTTTTAACGTGTGGCTCTCGCCTTAGAGCCGCGCGCATTCGTTTTGACGGATGCAAGAGTCTCGCGAATTGAAGGCTGCTCCTGTTCAACATGTGGCTCTGGCCTGAACGCTGCGCACATTCGCTTCTACAGTTTGCAAGCATTTTGCTGGTTCTCATGGTAACGTAAATTTGTGTGTTGGAACGATTTAGGACTGTCAGGGCGCAATCGTTACGTTGATTCGCGGTGCTAAAGTCCCAGCAATGATGTTCCAGCGCGGTTCAGGATCGCCAAGACGTACCTGTCAATTTAATTCGCGGCGTTGAAGTCCTGAGAAGGGTGTTTTGGTACTCTTCAAGATGTTCACACGGTTGTCCGCCAACGGGGGCAATTCCCTCAGTGGAAATGGCTCCTTGTATGGGGCGTGCGAGGATCTTGAAGGGGGGGTGTATTTCAACATCGTTGACGAGTCTTCGGTTTGCACTGGTCCTCCTCCTTCTCCTTCTTCTCCTTCCCCCCCTCCCCCTCCTCCCCCTCCTCCTCCTCCTCCTCCTTACTTCCTCCTCCTCCTCCTCCTCCTCCCCCTCCCCCTCCTCCTCCTCCTCCTCCTCCTCCTCCTTCCCCCCCTCTACCTCCTCTCCTCCTCCTCCTCCTCCTCCTCCTCCTCCTCCCCTTCTTTTCCCTCCTCCTCCCTTTCATCCTCATCTGCCGCCCTCCCCCTCTTCCCCCACCTCGTCCTCCTCCTCCTCCTCCTCCTCTTCATCCTCCTCCAGCCCCCCTCCTCCTCTCCTCGTTCTCCCCCATCTCGTTTTCGATCTGGTTGCTCATAAATAATGATCTCTGTCGCACCTCTTGGACGTTTCGGTAGGGCGGGCCGGGCATTTCGCCTGATACACCCTCACCATTTCTGATCCCGAATCTTGAAATTTGCAACAGTTTCACTGATGGAGGACGGGCCGTTTTTAACCTGTGGCTCTCACCCCAGCGCCGCGCACATTCGTCTTAAATTTTGTTCAGCATCTTCAGACATATAATGCTGTTCGTTTGCGCACTGCGGTTCTCGTCTTAGCGCCGTGCGCCTTCGTATTAAACGTGTGTAACGGCTTCAAGGATGGAGCGCGGTTCGTGCTCAACTTGTTGCTTTCGCCTGGGCGCCGCGCGCATTCGTCTTCAGAGTTTGCAGCAATTTCAAGGATGGAGGGCGTATCATTCTCAACTTGTGGCTCTTGCCTTAGCGCCGCGCACATTCGCCTTCGCACTGTGCAGCAGCTTCAGGAATTGAGGGCGGGTGGTTCGCGGCTCCTTCTCGACATGCGGCTGTCGCCTTCGCGCCGCGCGCACTCGTCTTGACCATGTGTAGTAGCTTGAAGGGCTCGTATGGTTGAAGTCCCAGGAACAGTGTTCTGGCACGAATAAAGGTTGTCACGACACAGCAGTAACGTTGATTCTCGGTGTTGAAGTCCCAGGGAAAATGTTCTGGCACGGTTCGCGATTGTCAGAGCGCAACAGTAATGTTGATTCGCGGGGTTGAAGTCCCAAGGATGGTGCATTCGCGTGCCTGAGGATATTCAGACGGTTGCCTTCCGAAGAGGGCACTTCCAGCAAGGAGCATGCAATCTTGTAGGGGCAAGATTGAAAAGGGAACTCGAACGGATGTTTTATTGCAACACCGTTGGTGCGCGTCTTGGGTTTACACTGGTCCTCTCCCTCCTCCTCCTCCTCCTCCTCCTTTTCCTTGCAAGCAACTCCTCTTGTCGTGCCCCGAGGCCTGTCGAGCCGGCGGGCCAGGCGTTTCGCCTGATATTTCTGTCACCATTTCTGATCCTGAAGCTTAAGCGTTGGCAACAGTTTGACAGATGGAGGGCGGGCCGCTTTTAAAAAGTGGCTCTCGCCCCAGCGCCGCGCACAACCACTTTCAAACATTGCAGCAAGGGTTTCGCTGATTGAGGGCGGATCGTTTTCAAGCTGTGACTCTCGCTTTAGCGCCGCGCACAATCGTTTCAAGTAGGTTTAACAATTTCACGGATTGAGGGCGGATGGTTGTCAACATGTGCCTAAGCATTAGCGTCGCGCGCACATTTGTTCTAACTAATTGCAAGGGTGTCACGCCTTGAGGACAGGTCGTTTTCAACATGTGGCTGCCGCCTTCGCGCCAGGCAGATGTGTTCAAGCAAACTGCCGAAGGGTTTCACAGGTTGAAGGCGGGCCGTTCTCAACATGTGGCTTTCGCTTTAGTGCCGCGCCCACATATGTTGTAAACAGTTGCAAGGGTTTCACGGATTGAAGGCGGTTCCTTTTCAAAATGTGGCGCACGCACCTTCGCGCCGCGCGCATTCGTCTTAACAGTGTGCAGCAGTTTTTATTGTTTCTTATAGTAACCGTGCCAGAACTAATGTCAGGGCGCAACAGTCACGTTGGGTCGCGGTGTTGAACTCCCAGGAATGATATGGCATTCTGGCACGGTTCAGAATCGCCAAGACGTAACAATCGGGTTACATAGTGGCGTTGAAGTCCTGAAAATGGTGTTTTGGCACGCTTCAGGATTTTCAGACGGCTGCCCCCGAACGGGGCACTTCCCTCAGTGGAAGTGAACCTCTGTAGGGGCCTGTGAAGAGGGAGCTTGTGGCGAGGGTGGGGTTTACACTGATCCTCCTTCTCCTCCTCCTGCTCCTGCTCCTCCTCCTCCTCCCACCGCGGCCACCGAGCACGCTGGTACGCGGAGGCGTGGCAGAACGCCACGGTTTCTGTACATATTCTAGCACAGGAACCGCAGAACCCTCCCCTCCTTTGGCAACCAGGGGCGTGCCCCCCTTCCTTTGCTTTGAGCCAGAAGGCAATGGACCCGCGTTCTCGAAGCCACGATCCCTCGAAGGCAAGCGGATCCGCGCTCCCGAGGCCGCGGCCCCTCCCCGAACAACGATGGGCCCGACCCGCCGTCGTCGGAGGCCACGCCAACACGTGAGAGCATTGGACGCGCGCCCTCGAGCTTCCAAGACAGCCGAGGCCAGCCGCGAAAGCCGCCAGGAGGGCCCGAGGCGCCTCCCAGACGGCTCAAACCGTTACTCTGACCGACACCGCACACAGTAGCTGGAACGCCGCTCGGTTCACATGATGCAGCCTCCCGTCGTCCCTCGAACAATTGCCTCCGAGAGTACTGGGCTGGCACGGTGGTGGGACTTGCCGCAGGCAGCTGGATAACGAACACGGATCGAGAGGAGGGGTGGATGGGGGAGGTCTACGAGAGAGGAAGAGGGACGATAAATCATCAAGAGAGTGTGGGGGGGGGGGGAAGACGCCATTCTAGAAACGGATCGGGAGGATGAGGGGGTGAGGAGGGTCAGAAGAGGGAGGAGGGGAGGATGACAATGAGGGGGAGGGATGCTTCCCCGACGTCCCTCGACGGTGTCCCAATATCAGTCGCAGGCCAAGACGCAGGCACCTCGCTCAAGACATCCCTACAAATTGTGCCAGTGTGATGCGGCCCCGTGGCCCCCCCCACCCCCCCTTGGGGTGTGTCCCCAATTTCCCGAGGCAGGTCGTGGAAATGAAGGTCGAGCAGTCGAAACCGTCGCCGATGCGCCGATGGAGCGGCGGCGAGACGGCCGCGGCAGCCAACGCATGGCAACCGCTGAGAACACCTGCTCCAGGGAGCGCGGGCTTGCCCCTAAAGTCATCCCTCCTCCCCGCGGGGTGTCGGAGAGCTGGCTCGGGCCAAATGCGGCCTCCAGGATGGCCCCAGACATCTCGGGGTGGCCTCCAAGATGGAACAGCATTGCCGAAATTGGGCCACCATGGCACCGGTGTTGGGTGCCGACCATGCGTGCAGACGCCGCAGACGTGCAAACTCTCAGAGCCGCATCGGCGACACTGGCGGCGAATCGAAGGAAGGTAGTGGAAACAAGCATCGAACAATCGAGGACGTCGACGACGCGTCAAAGGAGCGGCAGCGGGAAGGCTGCCGCCCTGGGCAGCGAGAAGGTCGCCGCTCCCCTAACGCATCGCAAGACCTCCCGAGGCTATCGCCAAAAGAGCAAGCGCCTCTCGCGAGATCATCCGCAGGGTCTGAGCACGCGCGGGCAAATGCCGTACCTTTTGGCGGCGGCCCCTCAAAGGGCCCGGGGTCCACGCCTGCTGCATCCCGGCAACCAGACCAGCTGCGTCGTGATGACCACGGCGTTCTGACAAGATACCCGTCCGCTTTCCAGCGCAATCGGGCCGTGCGAGACAACCACACCATCTGGGCGCGCACGGGCCCGCGGCAGACCACCCGGCGGCTCCCCTTTGGGGTGCCCAAGGGATATGCCTGCTACATCGCGGTGGCTGTGGGGCTCTGAAGCGAGAGGCGTCGGAGGCGCCACACGAGCACCTCGTTCGGGTCATCCCCACAATCTGGCCGCGCACGTGTCTTTGAGAGATCCCCTGGCGGTTCCCCCTCGGGATGCCCAAGTGCGATGCCTGCCGCAGGCGGAGACATGGAGTCCTGAAGTGAGAGGGGTCGGAAGTGCCGAACAAGCGCCTGGCCCGAGACATGCCCTCAATCTGGCTGCGAACTGGCCCGTGAGATACCCCCCGCGGCGCCCCCTTGGGGTGCCCAGGTGCTACGCCTGCTACACCGTGGTGAGAATGATTACCGTAGCACCCCGCAGTTGCGGATAAGAGTGAGGGGCGGCGGGGACGTCGGCAGTCTGCGAGGCGCTGAAGAAGCCCGCCGCGTTGTATCCGTGGCAATGTGTGACGCTGTTTGCGGAAAACGAGGACGAGTGAGTCTGAATATGAATGAATACGGGTATGATTGAGTGTTCGTGCGAATGACTATGAACCTGATCGTTTTGAATGTGAATGAGTCTGGCTGTGAATGAATCTGGGTCTGCGTGACTGGCTGTGTGCAAGCCATAACCTGAGCGCTTCAGAATCTGGGTGGATCTGAGTGTGGATGATCTGACTGGCTATACATGAATCTGAATATGAATGGGCCTGGGTATGAGAAAACAAGTAGGAGGTAGTGGGCTGCTCCTTCATCAAATCTGTTGGCGATGTCAATGCTGCTGTTCTCGGGGCTGCTCCCTCATTTCGGGCACGTGAAGTGCGGGGCAAAGGTGAACACACGCGCCGAGATGATTGGCTTGACCGTATCTTAATCAACGTCCGAAATCCTTCTGCCACTGTGCACTCCAACGTCCGTCAAGGTAATGTTTGGAGGCTAGGTTTGGCTATCGCGCTTCCAGGCAATATGCGCCTACTCGGCCTTATCCTGCGCACATATCCGCTTCAAGGCCACCTGCCCACTTTCGGACGCACTCCTGGACTCGGCGGGGGTCCTCTCCAACCGAATGCGTAATGCAACGCAGCATGCCAAAACCAAACAATGTTTCATAAACGGGAAACGCATAATCATGCGATTGATGACGGTTCTGGTGGCCATGTGGACAACGCCTGCAATGTTGTGACCAAGATGTGCGTTGCCAGCAATGTTGCGAAGTCTCTGGTGAGGTCAGGCTCCACCTTCGCACCCTCGTCGCTGACAAACGACTGTACGCATGGACCAGCTCTACTTACTCTTTCTCACTCTCCTCGCACGCGCCGATTACTATACCGTAGCTTTCACTCCCAACCTGCAGTAGAACTCTCCTCATTTCGCTGAGCAATACCTTTGCTTGTTGCCACCGCGCGCACACTCGGCACGCGGACATTGCAGCCTCGTAACAAATGACGTCTGGTGCCACGCTCTCTTCCAGCATCATTCTGATAAGCGACATTGCCTGCTGCCACTGCCTGCCTCTCACGCACGCGCTGATTGCGGAGCCGTAGCCGACGCTGCACCGAGCTACACTTGCGTCCTCCATGTCGCTGAGCAGTGCCAAGGCCCGCTGCCACTCCGCGCCTTTCGCGCATGCGCTAATAACAGCTGTATAGGTGAACACATTTGGTCTCAGCTTCGCCCGTTCCATCTCGCTGAACAATGATACTGCCCGCTGCCACTGTCCGTATTTTCTGTGCGTGCCGATCGTAGCACTGTAAGTTATGACGTTCGGCTTCACAGTATACTTCCCCATTTTGCTGAAAAGCGACAGCCCCTGCTGCCACTCCCCCATTGTCTCACAAGCGCTGATACAAGCGCTGTAGCTTACAACATCTATATTCACCTTCGCCTTTATCATGTCTCTGAACAAGAACAATGCTTTCTTCCACTGTCCGCCTTTCTCGCACGCGCTGATGGCGACATTGTAGCTGACCAACGTAGGCCAACGGACAAAAACACGGACGATGTCCGAACAAAATCTTGCTGCTGCGCCACTCCGCATGTTTTGTGACCTTCCGGTCTTTCACGGACTCCACGAAGCCCGATTCGTATCGGGCAATACCGAAACACGGGAGGTCAGTGGAAGGATCCGCCAACCTGCAACGAACCTGCTAGTTAGGACAACCACGGGGCTGTCCAGGAAAGCTGTACTCGAACAGAGAACGCACACACATTCAGGGCTGGACCCAAACGGTGTTTTGGCGATTTCGTGGGCCGTTTTCGTTTCGACTTCGTTTTGCGGTAGAGGTGGATTGAAGACAAAGCGAGGGAAAACGAAAACAAAACGAAAACGAAAAACACCTTTCAGGCTCAGCCCTGCACACGTTCAGGACAAGCCAGCGGAAGCAGCCACGAAATTCCCAGGTGGCGCGGGGACGATGCCCTCGGATCGGCCGGGGGACGCTGCCGGCGGCATCCCCAGGCACCCAGTGGGAGAGCCGCTGCGGCTGCCTTCCCAGGTCCCCGACTCTTCGCGCAGCGCGCCCCGCGAGAAGGGCGCTGCTCCAACCCCGGGCGCTGTGCCAGGGGCCCTGCCCCTGGGGCGAGGCCGCGCCCGCCGCCCCCCCTGGGCAGATAGAGAGAGAGAGAGAGAGGACACAGCAGAAGAGGAAGGGAGGGGGCGAGGAGGAGGAGGAGGAGGAGGAGCCACGATGCGCGAGGCGCGACTCTCTTCGCGCCCCCGGGGGTGACCCGGCCTTCCGACGCCCCAGGCGAGGCCCCCTCCTGCGGCTGCGGCCAGGGGCCGCCGGGGGTCACGCCTCCGGGCCGGCGAGGGCGCCTCTCGAGGTGCTTGCGCGGCAGCGCTGGCGAATCCGCCGCCCGCAGCTGGCCTGCCTAGGCGCCCCCCGAGGCGCCCACCGCGCCCGTGGGCAGAGGAATTTTCGCCGATCCAGCGTGTGAGTTTCCAAGGGCGTGGGCTCGGGCTTCGCTCGAGCTCCGCTCTGCAACCAGGGGGTCCCCGTGTTCAGCTTTCTGCGCCGGGATCCGGGGTGAGGGGGTCCCCGTGCTCCGCTGGTGTAGAGGAGGACAGCTGCGTCTGGCGGTTTTTGCTCTCCTCTCCCCCTCCCTCCCTCCTCGTTCCCCGACCTCCTTTCGGACCCCCAGGCCTGCTATGAAGAAAGGGGAGGAATGAAGACACGAGAACAGGGATGAAGGGGAATGGGAGGCGGAGGAGGACGGAGAAATGAGGGAGCAAGGGTTGCTGGGGGATCTTGGGGGTTGAGAACGTTCCATGAGGATGAAGCGGCTGGGGAGGAGACGGAGGAGGAGGGAGGGAGTGACGCCCACCGAAAAGAAGGAACATGTTGCAAATAGAAGGCAAAATATGGAGTCGCCGTCCACCATGCGCCGTGCACCGCAAACAATGCGCGCTTTGGCCCGCCCACAGGCTTTGTGACTCGTGCGCCCAGCATGCAGCAATGCGTTGACATAGCTGGCACGGTGTTGGCGGGTTCGTGCTTACTAAGCTTGCAGCTCACTCGCTGGGTGTACTTGGGTTCCCGAGAAGAGACGTGCCAGAAATGTACTCATGCCTACGGGGGGTGGCCGACATATTTGTAAAGGAGGCGTCTAAACGACCGCTGCGTATGTTTGCCGATGGGTAGCTCGCGAGGGGTGCTCGCAAGAAGGGCGGGCCGTCCCATATCCGTCCGAACAAAGAGTTCCGCCGCCAGCCGTGCTCCCTCCGGCCACAAGCACGCGCTCCCAGTGTCCTCCTCAAACCCCACGAAGAACCAACCAAACTCTTGAAGGATGAGCATGTGCGCGCCATATGCATGGGGATGCGCGCACAGTGCAAGCCGCATCCCAAGCAAGAGGTGAAACATGAGAATGCCGAAGGCGCTCGCGCTCGAAGATCGGGGGCGTGAGCCCGTTACGAGGGCCCCGTGCCGGGAATGTCAGCAATCGCTTTCCCATGTGCAAGCGCATTGTTTGTGTGTCGTGCGCCTGAGCTATATTTGCAACTACGCTGAGGCCGAGCACGTGGTAACGAACAATCGACTGTGCAGGCCTCATATCCACCGCATGCGTGCCGCGAGCCCATGTTCGGCACTCGAAGGAGAGGGACACACCTTGGAACGTATTTCCGTCGTTCCCATGGGTGACGCTAAAACACGTACCATGCCCCTGGGTCGTGGCACGCAAGGTTGGCATACCAAGGATGGCCACATCAACTCGGAACTCGCTGGGCGAATGAAAACCTGGAAGGACAACCGCCGTCTTGGCTTTGTGGAATACCGTGCCGCATGCACGTTCGATCAACTCCCATACCGGAAGGTAATCGGCGATGCTGATGATTGTGAACTTACCCTGCGCACGCCAAAATCATCCGCAAATGCGGCGAGCGCAGGAAAGTGCAAAGCGACGTCTACCACACAACATCTGTAGAGTAGGGGCCGACACCAAGTTCCGAACGGAACAAGAAGCGGGGCAACCTCGTTTAACACTTCGCAAGCACCGGTCGCCCACCCCGTGGCATCCCAGACAATGTAGATGACACTTGAACATCACAATAGTGGGCACGGAATCAACGCAGTGTGTCTGTACGCAGATACCTCACTTACAATATGACAAACACGGCCTGGTGAAGGAGATATGAACCAATAAGGTCCCGTGCGCACCAAGTGCCTGTGCATCGTGGTGGCCATCCCAGCTTTCCTCTGGCCGTGATGGATCCTGGAATGCATGCATGTGGCCTCCGTGTCTAAGGCTTGGTCCAGCACCAACCGGTGTTATACAAATCCACGTTGAATGCCGAATAGTGCTTTGACCAAGAACAACCCGTGGCTGGTTCAATCAATGCGCAACCAATGCTGGAGACGTGCGCACATTCCAAGTCCTGTTCCCGAGAACCCTCGGCAAACAAATATATGCCATGCGCCTGGTTGAAGCGCGGGTGGTTCGTGCACTGGTCCAAAATATCGACGTGCATCTGGTCGACCACCTTGACGCCGTCAAGACATGCTGACCTCGAGGCAACAGAACGCGCCCTCTGGTCCAGTAGCCGAGTTGGGGGTAGGTGCCGTAGCGCCTCCTACAAAGCGACTGGCTCCGTGCATCAAATGATACGATAAATGACGGGTCGGATGTATTCGTGTAGTACCTCTCGAAGGCTTGAGAGTCGGCACTTGCAACACCCCGCATCTTTCCCCAATGTCCACGTAGCTGGCGCCTAATCTGCATGCGACCGTTTAGGGTCGCCCTGGTGGATCGGGGATCGCTTGAACATCTCGATGCCACATGATAGAACCCTATTCTGATCTGAAGCTGTGATGCCAATCTTTTCGTTGACGTTCGATCGTGTGCGTGAGGGTCTCTTAACGCAACGCAGCGCGAGAACGGAATCCGCAGAGCAAACAGGTCAACGCAATACTTTGTAACGCTCTAAGCATGTCTAGAGGGGTTCCTCCACAGGCGGGCGAGTAGCTGAGGGAACACTGACCGACCAATACCATAACACGCATTGGCTGACATGTAGACCGTAAGAACGCGGTAGGTGCGCACGGCCCCTTGGACCCGTGGGGAAATTGCCGATCGGATACCTCGCAATGCCGTCATCCACCATGCTTTCTTGTCTGCCGCGGCGGCAACCCCCCAGCTCACGTTGCGCCGCATTTGAATAAATTGCAAAGACAACCAACGCGAGAGCGCAATTCCTGCATAGATTGTAGGAAGTCCCGCGCGCGAGCGCGATTTCTCAATACATTGTAAGGAAATATAAGGCGGGAGCCGTTGTTGTTGAACTTGGGAACCAAGGGCCCAGTTTGGTGGTACTAACTTCCCTTTGTTAAAAGCAGAGTGAAAGCCCCGGGCGAGCTGTTTCGAGAATGATGTCGCACATCTCTTTCCGAGCCTTGGTTCGAATAATAAGCAACGGCATGCACTTTTTTCCGGAGGTCCACGCGGATTTCTTGGATCGGCGCTGGAACCCCCTCCCTGGGGGGCCCAACGCCGATCCGAGAAATCCGCGCGGGGCTCAGAGGAATTCTGTTTATGCCGCTTTTTGTTCCTCGATTGAGGGGTCCGTGGAGGCGGCCCTGGCTTCTCAAGCAAATTGTGAGCATATTGGCCAAAACTTGGCTTCCTGCGGATGTGCATCGGAAGTCGCGACACGCTGGGCTCCTGTGAGGAGAGGGCACGTGAGACAGGCGCAATAACATAATCCCATCACAATTCGGCACGTTCAGCAGGACAGCCAACACGGTGATAGCATTATCTGAATGACCCTTGGATGAAGGATCCAGGGTCCAGAAGCTGGTGGAGCTCAGTGGAATTCCAATCGTGGAGAGTACTCCTGGATATCACCGCCGCCCTTATCATCTAATGAACCCTTCAGGGTCTGAAGCCCCCCTGGGCACATTCCGTAACCAACGCCCCCACCGTAATATGATCGCACCACAGTTCGGCAGGATCAGCAGGATTGCCAAACATAGAGGAGGATGGGGAGAGGTAACGAAGCTCGCCAGCAACGCTTGAGAGACAGATGCGACCCAATCGAGAGAGGCTTGGCCATTGTGCCACCAGCCAACTCCGTAATCCATCCCTTGCTTTTCGATCCCCCAAGAGTTGGAAAGAAACTCCAGACACGCTTTGCAAACTCTGACTGCGCGTAGCAAGTGTTCCATGGAATCTGGGATAGTTGAACTCGCTGGCAGAGAATTGTCGTGACGAAGTATGGCGGAATGATTTCCCGCCGCAATGTCAGCATTTGGTGCTCGCGAGTATCAATTGTAGGGCAAGGGTCTGATAGTTCGCAGCGTGCATTGGACGAAATCTGTGGATGTAAAAAGGGACAAATACCTTGTGCAGAGCCAGTCGTAATAGACAGTGTGACTCTGAATGTGAACTATGATGCCAGCCACCGCAATGCGGGCTAGTGGTGTGAATAGACCCCGACACTCGTCGTGCACCTCGCGTAAGCAATACCTGAAAGTATCAAGAAGTCCCTCGCATTCCCTGCAACGAGATCACGGGGTGCGCTGACATCATGTGTTCCCGTTGCCGAAGTTGCACGCGGACTGCGACGTTGCTCGGGCACCAACTAGTGAGCGCATGCTCCCAGCACGCACCGTGAGCGCAGAGGGAAGAGATGACTAGGATGACGAGGAGGAGAAAGGATGAGGGAAGACACGTAGGAGAAGAGGGAACGCAGGAGTAGGACACCCACAGAAAACGTGCGCGCCCAACCATGTACATGAGTACGGACCCCAAGTCCGTGAGACCAGCCTGGTGTTACGAACGCTCGCGCACGTGCGACAATTCATGTGCACATGCGTCGTTTTTTTTGCTCCTGAACCAGACGTCGTGTCTTCAAAATGTCTGCCATATTACGATGGGGCCGAAACCTCGTGGGTTATAGTGTCTGGTGGGGCGGAAATCGAACCCGTGCTGGCACTCCACGTCAGACGGAACAACACATCCGCAAATTCTGGGGCTTGATGCGCTTGTCGCGGGATGCTCTTGACGCCCAAAATAAGTGCGGGAAACATGGGTATGATGCCCAACACCGAACACTATCCCAAACCGATAGCGGCCGCTGTTGGGCAGATGACTGTTTGACTCAAGTGGTCAACGTCCGCGGCGACACCGACAACGAATCCTGTTCAGAATGGGCGGAGACTGCTGTTGGTCCTGACCACCACCCCGTCCGTAACCATTGCGACCCTCTGGAGGG